TTTTGTTGACATTTTTGTTTAATACGTCAGCTTCATATGACACCATTCATTGTGTAAATGATTAAGATTGCAATTGTTTAATATGTCAGCTTCATATGACACCATTCTTTTTATAAATGATTAAGATTGTACTCAGTCAGAACTATAATATAATAAGAAAGAAATTGTGAGCATTATGGACATCATACTGCTCATTTGACCTTATGCATAATGATGTCACAAGGCTTGATGCCTGCGAGGAATGCTGGTCTTAAGCTATGGGCAAACTAGGAAACGTTGCAGAAACATTTGTGATTCTCGATGTTTCCTCAGACGTTTCCCTGTTCACCCACCCTGTTCGTCCACGCCTGTTCGTCCGCAACAACATTTCCTAGTTTGCCCAGGACTTTAGTAGTAATCGCCCAGGAAAATTAAACAATCCAAAATGGCCACTATCGAAATTTTCCTGGCCATCAAGCCTTAAGACGTCATTATGCATAAGGTCTATTGATTTGATATAAAGACATTAAGTAAAGCCTTGCCCTCGCATAAAAGAACCAGTAGGTTAAGAACCACTAGCCTGAAATTTGGGCAATTGAGCACCCAAAATACAATGTGTTGAATATAAAAAAGTATAGTGTGAAGTAAGACAATATACAAACCACTTCAGCCTGAAGTCAAAATTCACTGGTTCTTTTATACATGGCTTAATTACTGCATATCATATTCCCATAATTAAATAATAACAATATCAATAATCATTTTACTGTAATATAATAAATATATATATATATAACTATTTTTATTGACAATTTTCTAATTTACATACAACCTACATATTTGTAAAACTTGATATACAATACCTTGTTGGCTTGATCTTTTGACAGAATCAGTATACAAGTGATACAACTTTATTATTGCCAACCGTCGACGATTGCCCAGCTAGCAAGATCACAACCTCGCTAGTATAAAGTATAAAATATAGCTAGTTCACACATAGCTAGCAAGTTTGGTACAGTTACACAGAGTTCACAATTCACTGCTTTTTTGAAAAACATAATATGAACGGCTCCTTTAATTTTGACTTGATTTGACCAAATGATCGCCACGAACACACAACAAAAATACACCTAGAGGAGATAGAATTCGAATTTTTATAATGTATTTTTAATATAAAAACAGACTATCACGTTCATTTACATATATAAATGAAAGTATTCAAATGTTCAAATAACTATTTTTATCAACATACCTTCAAAAATATAATTCTTTTGATAGTTTTCCTCCAAAATCAAATAGTAATATTGTGAAATAAGCCTCGTGCAATGGAAAAATATGCGACATTGCCATATGGTCATGTCAAAATTAAATGTCATAGCTCCTATGAAGCTACGGCGCACCGAACGCAGCTTTCGGAAGTGATCGGATTGTCATCGTAAACTTCCTGCGTATATAAATTTGTACACAACGTCATTCGAATTCTGTGACGTCAGAAAATGCGACCCGAATGATCGAACGAACGAACGACAAACAAATCTCAAATGCTTTGGCTAAAATACATAAGTCGCGCGGGGATCTGGCACGAGTAAAAACTGTAAACGTTGTCAAGAATAGGTGGCTGCCATCGCTTCGCTCGGCAGCAATAATATCTTCCACTATTACCAATCATAACTTCGCTATTTTTGCTGACGATATTCCCATGGCAACACTCCGAGTCGGTTAACTTAAGGTGGTTGTTGTGGTAAAAATTGATAGTTTTGCCATCGTAAGTCATAACTAGATGATGCCAATGATGTGAAACGGCTGCAGTTATCGTAGGCCAGGTTTTTGCTGAGTGTGACGTCACAACAGATAAACCAATAGAATTACCAGTATTAACAAATATTTCCCAACTACCTGAACTGGTAGTTTCATCGCTCACCAGACCATTGCTGATGATGCCTCGGATTTTCCGAATGTTTGTTGTTGATGTTTTGAACCAAAAGCTAATAGAGAACGTCGATCCCCATGCGTAACCATGTAAACTAGGTACACGGAGTTTTGATGACCAGTCACCTCGAAATTTGACTGCTGCATTCGATATGCCTATTGATGGGACAAGTTCAGGGGCACTCTCACTACCATGCTGAGCGTTGTGGCCAAAGCAAACGTCTCGAACAGATCGGTCAAACTTGTAATAGGCGATGACGTCTGCACCACATGCATCGGGTTCTATAATTTGAGCTTAGAAAAAATGCACAATAATTTGTTTATTTGAATATGCATTCAACAGATACAAGTGTTCAATAACTACGGCATAAGGGTTCATTTTTGGTGAGGAGAACCCAACCCACATTAGTTAATGGTTAGACAAGAATTGTCACGACATCATATTAAACCTTGAAGCAGCTTGTACATAATTGATACAAAATCCTGCTGATATAAAATCAACTTTAAGTTCATTTTTCTCAACAAATATTCTTCATGCTTTTAATATTATTGCGGAACACCAACGTAATCATCATGACCAATCAAAGCTATGTATATAGATGGCAGGAGAGGGGGAGGGGGTTGTTCGCCTTGTCATATATGTACATTATTACCCATACTTTGTATGAGACATTGCGCGACTCATCAATGCTTCACGAAGAAAATACAAAATAAGTCATGATCTCACAAAAAATCATTCATTTATTTTAAATTGTTGAAGAATAATGCGAGACGTTTCACAAGCCATTTACAACCACTTGTGCTACGTCCAGGGGCAATATGTGTTTCCTATAATCATGTTTCTAAAATATTGACATACCAGAATACATCTGTCATACCCATTAGCCTGTGTAGATTAAATTACTTTTCTATAAACCCCTAGTGAAACAACCATGAGAGTTGATAAGAGTTGAGAAACGAGAGTTTGCTTACAGAGTTTTCTCAAATCTTATGCCCATGGTCAAACGAGAACAAGAGTTGCATGAGAGTTGATGATAGTTGACTGGATAGCACCGCGCGCGTAGCCACAACAAGCCACAACAATCATCAAAATTTGAGCCAGCTCAACTAAGTTGATGAGAGTTCATAAGGGTCGACCATGGTGGTCAACGCGAGCGAGAGTTGCAACTCTCATCCTTGCTTGACCGTATGCCTGTAGAAAAGGAAAATTTTCGTCCTGGCAAATATAAATTTCAGTTTCTATCTTCAGTGCTGTAGCTGGAAAATCCTGGAATCTCTAGGCCATTTCGGGAATCTGGCTGGCCCCAGGAAAATTTAAAGTTTCTTAGAACTGGATCAACTGAGTAACATTTTACTATTTTAGTGAAAATATCATATAATACACTCTGGGGAGAATATTTGTGCAGAAAAATTAAATTGATATTTGATAATTCAATTTCAACACCTCAATCAATTAAGTTTTAACTGACAACTGTGAACTGTTATGTTACAGTTCGGATCTTTAACAGTAATCACTATATTTGACTATTCAGCAGTAATGTGTTGACTTTTTTCAGTTTGTATCATTTATACTCATTGTAATAATCATTCTTAATTTCTTATACAAATTTTTGCTTGCAACTTGCGAGATAATTTTTCAGTTTGGTCAGGAAACTTTAAAATTTCGTTTTGGCCCAGCCCACCTAGGAGGCTTTTCTACAGGCATGCTTGACCGAGGTTTTACGTTGGCGTCTTAAGCGAGAATCAAATCGGGATGGGAGTGCAGGAGAGTTGTCAGTCACGTGACTTTGGTTAGCTGTTCTTAATGCTTTCCCAACACTATCATGTATTCTATTGAAGTTAAAACATAGTTGGAACATTCATCAAACCTTTATTTTGTTCATTTAGAGCTTGAAATGTCCCCTGTAACAATGCGTGACTACCTTAACTCCCATCAATTCTTTTTCGGCTCGGGCTATATTTCGTAAGATCTTTTTCATATATTATGTTACACATTCATTCACGATTTCGTGTTAATTTAACTGAATGGCCTCTTACCTAAAAAGTCTCTGAAATAGTCCCAGTCGAAGTCCATGCCAGCCTCCACTTTAATGAGAAATATCGCCAGAAAGGCAGTCAAAATTAGCGCAGCTTTGGCCATTTTGGAACTGGGTCTGCAGTCAATATGTCTGCGTTCTATTTCCTGAATGGTCTTTTCAACATTGGAGTGGTATTCACTTACAAGCGCTTAAAGCGATGCAGAACCACAGGGTAGAACGAAGCAGCACACTATTCTTGACGTGTGATTGGCTTCTCCAGAGTCGAGTTCTATGTAATGTCCAGACAACAATACATCATCGACAACAACAACAGCAACGACAGCAACGGCAACATCAATATCAACATCAACAAGAACAACTAAAACAACAACAGCGACGACAACAACAACATCAACAATTGCAACAACAACAACAACAGCAACAATTACAACAACAACAACAACAACAACACGATGAGAGCAACAACAACAACAGCAACAACGACGACAGCAGCAACAACAACAACAACAACAACAACAACAACAACAACAACAACAACGACAACAGCAACAACAACAGCCATGATAACTTTTTAATCAATTTTTTTGCAATTGTTACAAAATGCCCTAATTACATTTTAAACTAACTGTTTTGGGTTTCGTAACCTCCTGGGGCGAATTATAGCTTAACCCTAGGTTAACCAAAAATTCAAAGCAAACTTCCCGAACAGCTTGTCTATAAACTTGGAAATATTTCATTGGGGATCTTGTCTGAATCTTATAGGAGTTTTGAAAGTTTTCTTCCCTGACGTTTTGAAATATACAGACATGCAGAAATAAACAGACATAAATACATAAACTAAAACAGCAGGGAACATTTTAACTGGGGGTTAGCGCTAAATCCAGCTTTAAACAACCAGCCCCATTGTTAATATGAATCAAAAGAAAATTTAAGGTCTCTAAAACATTTCAATTCCATATATGTCAATTCCAAACTCCGTAAACATTCTCGAAAAGTCCTAGTTTAAACAACTTTTAGCTGGTACAACTTCGTAATCTCCCGAGCAGTGAGCGCTTTTTTAAACAATTTCAATTCGTCAATATGTACTTCGAAAGATACTTCATTGTAATTTCGACCAATCACAACGTCGGTATTTGTGCTGACGATGTCACCATGACAACACTGGGAGTCGCTTAACACAAGGTGATTGTTGAGATAGAAATTGATCGTTTGACCGTCGTATGTCATCGCCAAATGATACCAATGATACCGACGGATCACAGCAATGTCATCCCAGGTTTTGTTGGCATGTGACGTCACGATTGTTGCCCCAAGTCTCTGTTCCTGAGTCTCGCCATTTTTAAGGAATATATCCCAACTTCCAATAGTAACTGTATGGGTTTCGTTCGCGGTCGATGCGCTCATGGTAGTTACATTAAAATTCTTTATCAGTCCACCTTGTTGCTTTGCTGCATAGTCGCCAGTTTGAAACCATAAACTTATGGAGAACGTCGAGCCCCATTCGTAGCCGTTTAAAGAAGGAATACTGCGTATAAAATAATCAAGAAAATGTCATTATAGAACAACCCGTTTACTTTTCTTTGCTTATTTAAACGCACATGGATCATTGGAAGATATAGTTAAAACTTAAAGACCATGTCAAGTTCGTTCTGCGCATCAGTTCTGCTCATAACAAAGGGGGACCCACAGATATAAAATTGCCCAAATTTTGCATCTTTCCAACTTTTTTGAATTGAAACGTACTCTAGTTTATATTCATTTACAATTGCGAACCAGAAAAGTATTAGATATTCAGTTAGTATGTCTTATTTTACAAATATAGCTGTTCAAAATTAAACAAATCCTTTGTTTACATTACGGACTTGACA